CCCTGGAGAAGGGATAGGCTACCCACTCCAGGATTCTTGGGCTTCCCTGGTGGTTCAGATGGTAAAGAATCTGCCTGCATTGCAGGAGACCTGGGTTCAGTCCCTGAATTGGGAAGATCCCCTGGAGGAGGGCATGGCAACCCACTCCAGTATCCTTGCCTGGAGAATCTCCAAGGACAGAGGAGTCTGGCGGGCTATAGGCCATGGGGTTGTAAAGAGTCTGAGCGACTAAGCACAGCACAGTGTTACTTTTACAAAGGAGAGATTAACTTCTGTATATAGGTTTAGAATCATTTATGGGGTTAACTGTATCATCTTTTCTTCCAAGAACAAGTCTAAGGCTACACAGCAAGATGTATGCAAATCAACAAGAAGTAACTAAGGATGTGAGAGAAGGGAAATAAGATGAAGCCAGAGAGGGACTGATGCCAAAAGCTCAACCTTTCTGTATATACCGGTGCAGAATAGAATCATGCAGAGGGTTTTGGCTGAAGCAGGAAAGAACAGCTTTGTTGCTTTGCCAGGCAAAGGGCTTGGGAGTTTGGCGAGGAGTTTTATGGCAACAGATCATGGTGAGGTTGCCGAGAAGATTGAGGCTGTGTGTAGTCTCTGATGAGCTTCTCTGATCCCTTTAATCTTTCTTTTTCTTTTAATGTTTATTTATTTGGCTGCCTTGAATCTTCGTTACGGCACATGGGATCTTTCACTGCAACAAAAACTTTCTAGTTGCGGCGCATGGCTCCAGAGCTTGTGGGCTCAGTAGTGAGCGTGGAGGCTTAGTTACTTTGTGGCAGGTGAGATCCTAGGTCCTGGACCAGGAATTGAACCTGCATCTCCTGCATTTCGAGGCAGGTTCATAACCACCGGACAGTCTCTTTAGTCTTTCCTCAGCCAAGGTTTCTTGGCTGTACCTCTCTTGGTTAGCAGCTATTTGGACCGACCTTTTGGAACTCTGGAAAGGTCGTGGAGGCTGGAGTGTTGCCTGCAAGAATCAGGGGACAAAAAGGCTCCATGACCGGGAACCCAACAGGGCACCACTCAGTTTCAGGATCACACCCAAAACACACATTATAGACCACTCTTCATGCCTGAGTAGTCCTTCCATTTGGCTTCAAGCCTCTTCCAGCCAAATACAAAAGATAAATGTGATTAGTAACATGATTCACAACATCCACATGATAAAAACAAACAATGGCCAAAGGAATCCACTATACCTGGAATAAGGCTTTAAAGAAATTTCTCAGGGAGATGGGGTTCTACTAAAGGGATCAAAATGGGATGCAGCTAATGACACCCTAAACATCACCCCACAATGAATACACAGTTAAGCACATTTGTGCAGACCAGTGAAATCTGAGTGACACACCGAGCCCGTCTGGGCAAGCTGTTTACAAGAGGTCAAAACAAAGGAATTAGGTTACTTGATCCCCGATTACTGATTTAATCCAAAGAAAAAATCCAGAGTCTGGAAAGAAATGAACTGACTTTGTTCATAAATGATCCTCTGTCAATAGTGTTTTTCAAAATGGAACTCCTAGTAAGGAATGGAAAAGGGCCCATGTTTTGCTCAAATCATTGAAGGGCAGTTGTTCTCTGCTGCTAGGTAAAACCCAAGGTGTGGACCAACTGCGGCAGCAGGTTAGGGGGACCAGAAAAGCAGAATGGAGAAGCACAGGGGGATTCCTTGGCGGTCTGGTGGTTAGGACACAGCTCTCTCACTTCTGGGGCCCCAGGTTCAATCCCTGGTTGGGGAACTAGGATCCTGTAAGCCATGCTGCATGGCAGAGAAAAAAAAAAATGGAGAAGTATGAGGGCAAGAGAGAGGAGACGAAAAAAGAGAGAGAGAGGAGAGGACTTGAGTGAGGCAGTTTTGTCATGAGTGTATTTCAATGTCCATCTCTTTTGTTGTTTGACAGTCACTAAGTCGTGTCTGACTCTTTGTGACCCCATGGACTGCAGAACACTAGGTTTCCCTGTCCTTCACTATCTCTGTGACTCAAACTCATGTCTATTGAGTCAGTGATGTCACCCAACTGTCTCATCCTCCCTGCCCCCTTTTCCTCTTGCACTCAATCTTTCCCAGCATCAGGGTATTTTCCAGTGAGTCGGCTCTTCGCATCAGGTGGCCAAAGTATTGGAGCTTCAGCTTCAGCATCACTCTTTCCAATGAATATTCAGAGTTGATTTCCTTTAGGTATGATCTCCTTGCAGTCCAAGAGACTCTCAAGAGTCTTCTCCAACACCACAATTTAAAAGCATCAATTCTTTGGCACTCAGCGTTCTTTATGGTCCAACTCTCACATCCATGCGTGACTACTGGAAAAACCAACTTTGACAATACGGACCTTTGACAGCAAAGTGACGACTCTGCTGTTTAAAACACTGTCTAGGTTTGTCTTCTCTCTTGCCAGACCACAAGCTTCATGGTGGCTGAGATTGCAGGGCCTAGCTCCGAGAAGGCTCAAGCTGACATTTGTCAGATGTGGGCATGAACACAGCGGGCCCCATCTAAACTTCATAGCTTCAAAGGCTGCCTCCCTTACCCATTGAGGCAATAATGCTCCCTCTTTGACAAGAGCTCACATCCTGATCTTTTGTGCTGTCACTGATTGTTGCACAACCACTTGGCTCAGCTGACAGGGTGTTCGGGCCAAAGGGCCAGTTAATATGAGCTTGTGGCATGAGTGCAGCCCCATGCCCCCGGAATGGGAGGCTGGGCACAGAGCCTCTGGATCATGAAGGCCCCTCTCCCAGCTCCTCCACCACCATCTGCCAAGATGATGCCCTGCAGAATGGGAGCAGGCTGGCCCAAGGCGCCTGGCAGCTCCTGCTCCCGTGTGGGCCCAGCCTGGTGAAATTCTACCGGCCGCTGCTGGGGCTGCAGGCAGCCATGACAAACATGGCTTCCCACTGCCTGCCTGTCTACGTGCTGGGCTTCTGCGTCCTCTGGGGCCGAAGTCTGCAGGTGATGGGGGCGCTCTTCCTGGCCCGGAAGCTGTGCATGGAGGTGCTGCTGCCCGTCCAGCAGACCTTGTGGCGGCTGCTGACCATCACGCGGGGCTGGGGCCTTCAGCTGCTGGCCACCCTGATGCACAGAGCCTGCCGCTGTGTCCCGTGGCTCCCGCGGCTCTTGCGATGGGAGGCCCACCTCGCTCTGCTGTCTGTGGCCCAGTGTGCCTACTACAGCCTGGTCGACTTCCACCACGAGCACAGCAAGGCCTTGGAGCTGCTTCCACAGGCTGTGCTGCAGCAGACGGCCGTGTCCCTGCTGCTCCGCTGCCTCGACAGGCTGTGGGTGGCCACGGGGCAGGTGGCCAGGGCCATGTGGGGCGGTGGCCTGCGGTCCCTGGGATGGGCCAGGCTGTGCAAGGCACCCTCCAAAGATCTGGATGCAGTCACCACCGTCCTTCCAGTGACCACCATTCCTTTTAGCCAGCGCTTCCCTGGGCCTGACCCGGCCACCCTGAGCGGGCTCAGGCCAGCCTCCATCAGCCTGTGCCTAGTGGTTGAGGACAAGGACTCCAGCGAGGGAGAAGGAGGCTGCGGTCTGGGGGCCAGCAAGGTGCCCATTAGTACCAGGTTCCACAGCAGTAGCACAAGCAAGATGGACTTCAGATCTTCATCCAGGCAGGCCCTCGCACTACAAGTCAAGACGACCTGTATTCTTATTATTCTTCTGTATATCTACGCCGCGTGTCTCTTTGTGCAGGTCTTTAAATAAATGACCACGTGAGAGCCAGCCTCCGATCTTTCCATGGTTTACCTTTGTCATTGAGAGATTGACTGGCACCAGATGTGTTCATCCAAGCGTTTGCTGAACTGGGGGCAAGGGTGGGTGGTACTCAGTATGCAAGATGCATTATGTGCCAGGGCCTGTGCTAGGGAGCCTGGTTTCAGCTCTGTCACTTCTATATGTCCTTGGGAAAGTTCCTTGGCCTTTCTGGGCCTCAGTTTCCTTTTCTGTAAAATGTGGATAAAAAGGCTCCAGGGAGAGGGGATGTATAAAAATAAGTTGTAAGTTGTAGTTGTAAGTTGTAGAATGTTCTTCCCCCTCAATTATCCTAACAGAGCATACAAGGCCTTCTTGGAGAACACTTAGATTCTATTAAAGGACATAAAAAGAAGACCAGAATAAAAAGGGACGTAGTTCATGGTTGGACTTGACCTAATGTCTTAAAGGGGTCAATTTTCTCCAAATTATCAAGTCATTAAGATTGCAACCAAAATCCCAAGGCATTTGGGGCAGTGGGGAAGCACTCATAAACTGATCCTAAGATGTATATGGAAAATCAAGGTCCTTAAAATTTTAAGGCATTTTTGGAAAATGCAGAGCCAAGGTGGGAGACTTGCTGTACCAAATATTAAGACATATTACAAAATCACAGTAATTAAAACAATGTGGCAGAAAAAGCAGGCAGACAAATAAAATAGAATGCAGTGTCCAGACATAAGCTGGCTACAAATGGGAACTTGGTACAAACGGGAACTTGGTACATTGAAAAGGTGATACCACAAACTAATGGGGAGGGACTTCCTTGGGGGTCCAGTGCCTGAGGGTCTCACTGCCAAGGTGGTTGTCAGTTTTCAGTGGCTAATTTGCATCTGACTCTTTGCGACCCTATGTACTACAGCACATCAGCCTCCTCTGTCCTTCACTACCTCCCAGAGTTTACTCAAACTCATGTCCCCTGAGTCATTGATGCTATCTAACCATCTCATCCTCTGCCACCCCTTCTCCTCTTGCCTTCAGTCTTTCCCAGCATTGCGGTCTTTTTCAATGAACCAGGTCTTCACCATTGCCGAGGGCCTGGGTTCCATCTCTGGTTGGGGAACAAAGATCCCACAAGTCCTGCAGCATGGACAAAACAAAAAAACAAAACAGTAGGGAGAGCAGGGATTATTTAGCAGATAGAGTTGGAGAAATTGGTTCACGATATGAAAAAATAAATTAACATGGGTTTTTCTAATTGGTTCAATAGTGGTCTCCCAAAGACAACAGTTCAACAATTCAGTAGCTCAGTCGTGTCCAACTCCGCGACGCCATGGACTGCAGCACGCCAGGCCTCCCTGTCCGTCACCAAATCCCGGAGTTTACTCAAACTCATGTCCATTGAGTCGGTGATGCCATCCAACCATCTCATCCCTAAGACGTACCCATCTAAAACCTGTGAATGTGGCCTTATTTGGGGAAAGGGTCTTTGCTGAGGATACTTTGAACAAAGGATCTTGAGATTAGGTCATCCTGAATTAGGATGGGGCCTAACCCTAATGACAGGCATCTTTATGAGAGAAGCTAAGGGAGGGTAAACAGAAGAGAAGGCCAGGAGAAGAGGGAAACAGATTAGTCAAGGATGCTGATGCCGCCTGTAGCCACCAGAAGCCAGGAGAGAGGCATGGAACAGTCAGCTTCTTCCTCAGAGGCTCCGGAAGAAACCAGGAGACTTCCTGTCTCCAGAACTGCAGTAGAGTTTCTGTTCTTTAAGTCACCAGTTTTTGATGATTTGTTACAGCGGCCACAGGAAACAATAGATCTTGTCTTGTATCTCAGCTCTAAAGAAGGTTCAAAAACATTTATAGCACTATACCAATGCAAAGATTAGTTTAATGTGTTTGAGGCATTCATTATTCTTTGAAACAAAATTGGCTGCCACTTATTGAGGGCGGAATAGTTTTTTATTTCATTGGATTGTTCAATCAACCCACTCTTTTATCATCTCCATTTTAAAAGAGCTTTCTCAAAAGAAGTAACTTCCTGGAACTTCCCTGGTGGTCCAGGGGCTAACACTCCGTGCTCCCAGTACAAGGGGCCTGGGTTCAATCCCTGGTCAGGGAACTAGATCCCATATGCCGAAACTAAGAGTTCAAATGCCACAACTAAGGATCCTGCATACCACAACAAAGATCAAAAGTCCCGAGTGCAGCGATTAAGACCTGGGGCAGATGATAAATTATATATATATAATTTACATATAGGATATAATATATACATTACATAATAATAATTATATTGATATATAAATATATATTACACATATATATATAATTTATCATCTGCCCCAAGTCTTTATATATATATATACACACATACACACACACACACTTATATATGTGTGTATATATATTTGGGCTTCCTTGGTAGCCCAATGAAAAAGAAACTGCTTGCCAGGGCAGGAGATGTGGGCTTGATCCCTGGGTCAGGAAGATACCCAAGAGGAGGAAATGCCAACATACTCCAGTATTCTTGCCTGGGAAATCCCATGGACAGAAGAACCTGGTGGGCTACGTCCATGGAATCACAAAAGAGTCGGACACGACTTGGCGACTAAACAGCGATAATATATACATTTATTTTTTAAAAAAGAATTAGGTAACTGCCTGAGATCATCCAGTGGCGCTCTCTCCTTCAACCACAAACCTTCCCCTCCCTCTCAGGGTTTCTGTGGCACCACTTTCACGCCCCACACTAGCATACTGATGTGGTGAATGCAAGCTCGGCTGAGTTCCCTCTGCGTTCCCAGACCTCGACATTTACCCTGTGAATGAAATCAGATGTGGTGTCCCGTTGTAGACTTTCACCTGTGCCATCCCCATTTATTTGTGGTTCAGCAGATATTGCTGCCTCCTCAAGCCTCAACCCACTAAGGCCAGACCACAGTTACCTCCCACATGGATTGCTGGACCCGTCCACACACACATCCTCGTGGTCTCCCTCCTACCCCTTCAATCCACGGTTTCTCCACCCAGCTGGTAGGTGGCTCTTACACCAAGAATCAGACCATTATACCACAGATTAACACCCTCCAGGGACACCCTGGTGGTCCAGTGGCTAAGACTCTGCTCCCAATGCAGAGGTCCCGGGTTCGATCTCTGGTCCGGGAACTAGATCCCACAGGCCATAAGAAAGACTTCACAGGCTTCAATTAAAGATCCTGCGTGATGCAACTAAGACCTGGCACAGCCAAATAAATAAATAATTTTTTTAAAAAAAAGACCCTCATAGACTTCCCTGGTAGCACAGTGGATAAGAATCCACCTACCAATTCAGGGGACATGGGTTCGATCCTGGTCTGGGAAGATTCCACATGCCCCAGAGCAACTAAGCCTGTGTGCCACAACATCTGAGCCTGTGCTCTAGAGACTGCGAGCCACAAGTACTGACCCTGTGTGCCGCAACTACTGAAGTTCGTGTGCCTAGAGCCTGTGCTCTTTAAGACAAGAAGCCACCACATGAGAAACCTGCACACCGCAAGGAAGAATAGCCCCTGCTTGCTGCAATTAGAGAAAGCCCGTGCCACAACAAAGACCCAAAGCAATCAAAATTAAGTAAGTAAATAAAAATTAAAAAAGATCTTCCAGTGGCTTCCTATATGAGGCCTGCAGGACTGCCATCTGGGCCACCACATCTCATGTTCCTCAGGTCGCCCCTCACACTGACCTCCCTGCTTCCACCTGAGACCCCACCCAAAGCAAAGCCTTGGGATCTGCTTCTCTTCCTGCCTGGAACACAGGCTGACTTCTATTCTTGTTCAAGCATAAATTGTAAAAGATGATAAAATCACGACACTTGCACAGATATAAAATGAACATATGTCAAAGATTTTTATTTAGCTCATTAATTAACGAGAGAACCAGGCAGATGCCACAAACAGTTCAAAGTAGAACACAGAATCACGTAGTTATATGGAGTCAAGAAATGTTTAAATGAATTTACAAATAGACATAAAACTGGCTTTTCTGCGGGGCTGGGAGGTGTCATTCCTCTGGACAGGGTTTATTTGCGTGTGTACAGATAAGGCTTATTTGCATTGCTATCCTTTATCTACAACATACAGAGCTGCAAAATAGTTTAAGGGTAAAGAAGAACCTTTAAACTACAAAGAGCTAATCTCTAAGACTCTAGCTTGTAATTAAAAGGATAACCAGGGATCTCTCTGTTTTTTAAAAAAATAATTATTTATTTGGCTTCGTCAGGTCTTACTTGTGTCATGTGGCACCTTTCGTTGTGGTGCAGGGACTGTCTAATTGGGGAGCACGGCCCCGGAGCCCTCAGGCTCAGTAGTGGCATTTCACAGGCTTAGTTGCCCCAAGGCACATGAGATCTTAGTTCCCCTACCAGGGATCGAACCTGCATCCTCTGCATTGCAAGGTAGATTCATAACCACTGGGCCACCAGGGAAGTCCCAGTGATCTCTTTTGCTTCTTCTTAAATATTCCTGTACTCTTCAGATTGTACCTTCTATATAATCTCTTCGGGAGCCTTCCCTAGTCACTTGATCTTGTAAACCAGTCTCTCTCCCCTCCTCAGACCTTATCCATACTGTGGATTTTAACTTAGCTTCTTCAGTGCTAGTGCTAATGCTTAGCCACTGATGTCCGACTCTTTGCAATCCCATGGACTATAGCCCACTAGGCTCCTTTTTCCATGGGGATTCTCCAGGCAAGAATACTGGAGTGGGGAGCCTGTCCCTTCTCCAGGGGACCTTCCTGACCCAGGAATCAAACCAGGGTCTCCTGCGTTGTAGGTGGATTCTTTACCAGCTGAAGACCAGGCTTTTCAGAGATGAAACTATTTTTTTGTTTTGTCCAGCACCAAGCACATAGGCAGGCTTCATAAATATTTGTGGACAAATGGAAGGGTGAATCTTCCATTTTAGGGTATGTTTGTTTTAGCGTATACATAGTTGGACCTCCGGGGTCTCTCTAACAAAAATACATTTCTCTTCTCTGGAGGATATGAGGAT